ACTTGTTTGTGAGAATAAGGGTTTTTTGGGAGCTCCCATGAGTTCAGACTTCTGAAGTCTTTTTTTGTCTCTAAGAGAAGAGAAAGATAATACTCTGGAAGAAAAGCAAGAGAAGTAATGGCACAAACAGCATATATGTATTTTTTTTTTTTAGTCCAATGTGCAGTCAGGTCTCTAGGAAGGCAGGTATCGCCAAGGACTTTGAGGATCATGCCGTCGAGAAGATGAGTGTGCAGTGGGAGTCAGTAAATAGCAGATAGGAAGACGCATGTCTCTAACAAAAGAAAGGCAGTCAGAAAAAAATACCGGAGATGTGAAGATTAATAACAACTGAATAGAATTGTTCTACTTACTGCCTTAAGGAACAGGAAAAAATGCAGTGAGGAAGATTAAGAGCAGTACTCTGTCCTAAGTAAAAAAAAAACAAACGGTATCTTTAAGAACACACTATGCAAATGTTCCAAGACAAATCACAAGTATCTGTTCAGGAATGGAAAACGGGCTTTGCTGGTCATGAGTATAAAGATATCAATTGTATTTAAACCTGCCAACGTGATTCCAGAAAAAAGACAGATAACTGCATTTGTCAAATATTTGGTCCCTGACCTCCAGGAATCAAGAATCCACTTCTAAAGAAGGTTTAAGATAGTATCTTGAATGCAAAAGCAATAGATACAAGAACCTGAACACTGAATTTACTATATTAGGTGAAGAATGTGATAATCCACAAAACAAAGCGCTAATCCTATAAACTAATGTTGCCAGTCTGAATGTATTCATAAAACCTGATGAGTTATCCTCATACCAGAAGGCTTTCTACTAGATGAGGTACTGCCTGTTCTCCTGCAGTTGGCATAAATTCAGTCTAATGTGCTTTAGCTAATTCAACAGAAATGTACTTGCAAATCCACACCTGATCTGGATCATGTGTACTAATGCAGCAGACAGATAGGTCACACAAAACCACTATCTCCTAACATGAATAAAATTACATTCATTCTGCAAACATCCGTGGAATTTTTATTTGTTGAACACCAAAAGTTAAGATTAGGAACCATGGAAAGCAAAAACAACTAGGGTCTAATGCTTTCTCTGCTTGGAAGCCAGCTAAAATACACATTGCTTTTCAAGACTCTACCTCACACTAAGTATAGGAGCTTATCTGTAAGAAATAACAACTAAAGTAAGACAAATATTACTTTAAACAACTAGGAAACAAGTTTAGGAACTGTCAATCTGACACAGATATTCAAGCGCTTAAAGTACTTTTGCATGTTAATTTTTAGTGTTGGATAATACACTAGACTGCACTTACACTTTTTCTCAGGTTTCCCTGAAATTTAAGTATTTTTGTCATACTTTGATTGAAAATAATTTTAAATTAAAGAAGCTATGATTTTAAAAAATAAAATTAATGTATAAACAAGCATTTTCCATTTGGTTTACAAACTATATGCTCAAACTCAGCTTACTTCTAATAATAAGGATGGGTGTCAGAAATTTTCCAGGAAAGGTTCTCCTGCTGCTCAGATAGCACATTAAAGTGCACAGAATTACAAAGTTAAAATACTGTTATAGGTGGAAAATGTTCAGGATTCAGTATATTTATTCCAAGACAAAACACATGACCTGCAGTCCAATTTCTACAAAATTATGCACCAAGTTACAGATATGGTGAAAGACATTAGATAATCCAGGCCAATAGTATTTTGCACAGCTTAAACATCTGCTTCCTCCTAGAGACAGGATAACAAAACATAAATCTAACCTCAATCAGTGATATTGTTCACATAGTCATGGTTTAGGTACAGCAGTGTCACATCTATCTCTTTTTATTATATCACTGCTATTTCCTGTTTCAGAAAAATCTTTTAAAAAAGCATATAATGGAATAAATTAAACTTAAAGGCTAGCAATAGACTGATTTTATAATCACATCTTCCCTCAGTTGAATATTATAGCTCAAGCTTCAGTAGGATTCCTTATTTATCACACAAAAATACAGTTTTTATAGATGCTGAAATTAATCGGTCTTATTGGGTCAATTGGTTGACAGCTACATGCTCCTTTTCTACATAAGCAAGGTATCTTAGATGTCTCTCACGTTTTGTATATTCTTGGCAGCAGACTGCAATTTGTATGTCCCCTCTTATTTCAGTATCTTTTAGCAGAACAAGCCCATCAATAGATGTAGGAGTACAACCAAGTAGATGATAAAATATGACATAAGGGCTGAAAAAGCAATTGCAAAAGTGAGCAGTGAGAAGAAACTAACTCTAGTGGAAGTAACTTTAAATATTTTTACCATCAGATAACGCATTTAAGACATCTGACACAGTTGCAAGGAAAAGTAACAGAAAAACTTTCATTCCAAGACGTGACATAAGACAAATATATCTCTGGTTGTATATACGAAGGAGTTCCGTAAATATTTAAGTAATTTTGTTTAAATAATGATCCAAACACCAGCCGTAACAAGAAGTCAGCATACTAGTTTTCACACCACTTTTTAATAGGGGAGGAGGAAATATTAAACCAACTGAGCTACAGCTTAGAACACTATGAGAAAATACACATACTCGAGCAGTCACTATCCTAAGATTTTACGAGATTCCAGAAGAAATTCCTCAAAAGCTTTTCTGTATTAGAAACATAGAATTTATAAAATTTAAAAATAAAAACTCATAACACAGGTCTTTACATATAAAGAGCATGAAACGACTTTAAACCTTGAGAAAAGTCATTCTCAAATGAAAGGCAGCTTTCTATAGATGTGGACTTTATCCATCACCACAGCATATGATACAAGATTTGAAGATGAATACCAAACTACATGTACTAAAAGCTCCATTGAGAACAGCAAAACAATGAAAAATCATTTTAAATGCCATATGAGAACAATATAAACCATTGCTTTTCCACCTTCAAAATCGAAGGTAACATTCTGTTGCAGTATTGCTACTGATCACGTACAGGATAACCTTTCCATGCAATCATCTGAGGATTCCGAAGGGTTGCAGGACTAGGCACATTAACTACCAAAAGCCTAACACTTCCTGGAAAATAAATCAAAAAGACAAGCAAAAATTTAAATTTATAAATCTATAAAAACATTTTAGGACATTTGTTTTTCCCATATTAGGCTTGTTTCATCTCTTCATCTAAACATTGAAGTGCTTCAGTTTCCTGTACCTTTCTGGAGCTATCTTATAATTTAGCAAAAGAAAGGAAGCTATTTAAGAGATCTAATACAATGTTTGAAGCCAACAGAGCACTGGAGATGAGCAATCTAGCAAAATCAGTGTCGAGGGGAAGTCAGAAATCGGGTAGTTGTTTAAGAAGTTTGCCTGAAACTGCATCTCTGGAAGGAGAGCATAGTACAAAGAAAGCTGCAACTCAAGTTAACTTCGGATCAGAAGGGTCTGGTTCAGCTACATGGCATAAACTACAAAACTCCCTACAACACTATTACAATGCAAATCTTGCACCATTCTGCTGTCCACAAGTTGTACAATAGTTTTAGTCTATTCTCAATTAAAATCTTCATCTCCTTTTTCGTGTATAGCAATTTTTAAAACCAATCTTATTTTACCTAACTTTAATCACAAGCATGTAACTTAAAATACACATAAAAAGCTACCTGTGAGCAAAACTCAAGAACACATGATAGCACATTATGAGAGTCCCTGTATTATATATCTAGAACCTCCATCAAGGATGTACTTCCCGTTGTAAGACTCCAGCAACTTCAGCAACTTTTAAAAAAAATAAAACAATGCAAAACCCCTTGTCTTCTTTGATGCTTTCTACTCTTTATTCTTACGGCAACAGCCTAAGAGATGCTCGGCTCTACAAGAAACATTGAAACCAAACATCCTCCAACCTAGAACTTCCTTCCTCTGATCAGACGTACAACAGAACCCGCGGCAGAAGCCTGAGATGTTACCCCCTTCACCTGGGACCCAAGGCCCGGACAAACTACCCCGTGCCGTTCTCGAAGAACCGCCCTGCCGCTAAACCCCGAAAAAACCCGAGGCGCCCACCTGCCTTACCGGGCTGC